ATAATCTTTTTCTGTTTAAAGAAATTTTTTTTAGCCATCATTTAAGAGTAGGTCTGCTAGTGGAAAATTATTTTGCCCATCTTTCATCTGAAATTGCTTTCATGTCTCCTTCATTCTTGAAGAATATTTTTGCCTGTATAGAATTCTCAGTTGACATTTTTCTCTCAGCACTTGAAAAATGTGTCCCTTCATTCCCGCCCTCATGGTTTCAGTTGAGAAATCTGGTATAATTTGAACTTGTGCTCTCCTGGGAGAGCAACGCACTGTCTCTCCTGGGTGCTTTCAAGATTTCTTCTTTGCCTTTAATTTTAAAAGTTTAATGACAGTGTGTCTTGGCATGGATTTCTTTGGGTGTATCCCTTTTGGGGTTTGCTCTAGCTTCTTGAATCTGTAGGTTTTGTATCTTTTGCCAAATTTGGGAAGTTTTCAGTCATTATATTTTCTTTCAGCCCCACTCTCTTCTCTTCTCCTTCTGGGACTCTGATGATATGAATGTTAGAACTTCTGGTATTGCCCCACAGGTCCCTGAAGATCTGCTTTTTTTTTTTTTTTTTCCCAGTCTGTGTTCTCTCTGTTATTCAGAATGGGTAAATGCTATTGATCTGTCCTCAGGATCATTGCTTCCATCCTCTGTCATCTCTATTCTACTATTGAATCTATCCAGTGAGTCTTTCATTTCTGCTATATATTTTTCAGTTCTATCATTTCTGTTGGACTCTTTTTTGTGACTTCTCTTTCTTTGCTATGATTTTCTCCTTTTTCATTTGTTTCAGGAAAATTTGTATTGATGAAGCATTTTTATGCTGGTTGTTCTAAAGATAATTTCAGCATCTGATTAATCTCAGTGTTGCTGTCAGTTGTCTTTTCTAACTCAAGTTATGGTTTTCTTGGTTCTTGGTATGATAGGTGATTTTCAATTACACCCTGAACATTTTGTCTACTATGTTGGGAGACTGGGTCTTCTGTAACTTCTTTTGTCAAGCAGTTACCCTGTTTAGGTATAGCACAGAGGTCTTAGCTTACTTTTGCGGGCTGTGATTCCAATGGTAGTTTAATTTTAAAACTTAGTTTAATTTTCTATGAATCTAGGAAGTCAGCACCGGAGAGGTGCAGTTGAGGTAATAAAGCGGGCAAGCAAGGAATCTAGAAATGTCCAAGCAGGTGAGCAAGCACATCCAAGAAAGGAGGGAAATTGGAGAGTCATGGAAGGACTGGCAAGAGAAAGACAGGTTTCTAGCCCTAGAAATTCAGGCACAGGGCAGGGTGGGTAAGAAAACGGAGGCTTAGGTATCAGAGTGTACTTGTATTAAGAACAAAACCCAGGTACTGGAGACAAGGTGAAAAGTTAACTTCCAAGCAGCTAATGAAAGCTGCTTACCTAATGCCCTTCATCTAACAGCACTATTGGTCTGGGACAAAAGCTACCAGTGAGTAAGAAGTGTGGAAAGAGGAAGACTGTGTGCAATAAAGGCCATAGTGTCATGGTTAAGAGGTTGGGCCAGAAAGGCAGAAAGTGGTCTTCAGCAAATTGTTGAGGCTCTCTGAGCCTCCATTTCTGCAAAGAAGTTAATAATCACATCAATTTGTAGGCCAAGGTTAAGGGTTACATGAGATCCTCCGTGGATAGAATTGAGCCTAGTGCCCAACACATGGTAAGCGTCCCGTAAATGTGAGCTAATGTTCTTATCCCTCACCTAACACTGACCTTGAATCGCACAAGCCCCTTCTCAGCAGCTCCTAATTAGTGACAATGAAAACAGAAGGCTTTATGGTTGTTTAGAAGTTATAAAATCTCATTCTCAGGAAAGTGCTCATTAATATGCTTACCACCATTTCTTACCAGAGCACCAGAGGCTGAGATTTATCGAATGTGAACAATTTAAAATAATAATTTCTGTAAGCATACACATAGCCAGCTTTCAATTACTCACTCTAATGGAGAAGATCAAAGTCATGGGTAATCCAAAACTGTGCTGGATCCAAAGTCAACTCTGTTTGCCTTGGAAATGGACTGGATGACCTTCTTTTGCAGCACATTTTAACTTTTGGATTCTTTTCTGCTTTGGCTAATAATAAAATGAATTTATATTCTCTAAGCACACTAGCTGGCAGCAACAGGAAATACACATAAATATTCTTGAGGGAAAGGGAAAGCTTTCTTCCTGGGTGGCTCAGTTGGTTAAGCATCTGCCTTCGGCTCAGGTCATGATCCCAGGGTCCTGGGATCAAGCCCCATGTTGGGCTCTTGCTCAGCAGGGAGCCTGCTTCTCCCTCTCCTTCTGCCTGCCACTCCCCTTGCTTGTGCTCTCTCTGTCAAATAAATAAATAAAAGCTTTTAAATCTTTTTAAAACATCTTTAAAAAAAAGAAAAGGGGAAACTAAAATCATGATATCAAATTTGTTGTAGTGAAGAGAGGATTTGCTATACATTTTTGTTGGTGGTTCTCAAAATTTAAGGGAGATAAAAATCACATTGGGGAACTTGTTAAAAATGCACGTTCACAGCTCCAACCCTTGAAATTTTGATTCAATAGCTCTGGGCTGGGGTTTAGAACTGTGCTTTTCTTTTTTATTTATTGTGGGAAAACTACATAGCATTAAATTTACCCTCTTAACCATTTTTATGTGTATAGTTCAGTAGTGTTAAGTATATTCACACTGTTGTGTAATAGATCTCGAGAACTTTTTCACCTTGCAAAACTGAAACTCTTTACCCATTAAACATTAGTTCCCTCTTCTCTTGTCTTTCCCCAGCCCTTGGCAACCACCTTTCTGCTTTCTAGTTCTATGATTTTGACTACTTTAGATATTGCATATGAGTGGAATCATACATTTGTTCTTTTGTAACTGGCTTATTTGACTTTGCATAATGTCCTTGAGTTTCACCCATGTTGTAGATGTGACAAGATTTCCTTCCTCTTTTAAAAAAAAATTATTTATTTTAGAGGGGGGAGGGGCAGAGGCAGAGGGAGAAAGAGTCTTAAGCAGACTCCCCTCTTGAGTGTGGAGATCCATGCAGTACTTGATCTCACGACCCTGAGATCACAACCTGAGTCGAAACCAAGAGTTGGATGCTTAACTGACTGTGCCATCCAGGCGCCCCAAGATTTCCTTCCTTTTTAAGGCAGAATAATATTCCATTGTATGAATAGACCTATAGACCACATTTCCTTTACCCATTCATCCATCAATGGGTGCGATTTTTTTTTTTTTTTTGGGATGTGCTTTTCTAATAAACACTTTCAGTAATTGTTACAGCTGGATCTCTCATAACCCACTGTGAGAATAATGATGTAGACCATAAGCGTTAAGCCTGGAAAGACCTTTACATGAGGATCAGGTATCATGTTCCATTTTACAGGTAAGAAAGCTGAGGTCCAGAGAAGAGAACTGATCTGTTCAGTGTTACAAAATTAATGCTAGAATGGAAGTGGGACTTAGGTCTGGCTCCTCATATAATGTAGTAGGCAGAGTTGATAATGGAGGTCTCTGAGCAAGAGAAGAGAGAGAGAAGGTCAGACTAAGGACATAATAATGGAACTTGGGGTGTATTCACATTAGGGGGGGGTGACAGAACATAAGAATCAAGAAAATGGTTAGAGTGAATTTCTTAGATCTTGGCTGATCTCTTCAGAACCTTCTAGCCCAGCAGTTCTCAAATTACCATGCACCTGGGTCTATTTGGGCATTTGTTTAAAGCATAGACCCTCATTAAAAGTACAGAAAAAGGAATATAGTCGATAATATTGTACTAACTTTGTATGGTGGCAGATGGTAACGACACTTATCCTGGTAAGCATTTTATAATGTATAGAATTATCAAATCATTCTGTTGTACACCTAAAACTAATATAAAATTTTATGTCAACTATCCTTCAATAAAAAAAAAAAAAGCGTAGATCTCCAGACACTTTGATTTAGTAGGTCTCAGCTGGGGCTCCAGTTTCTGCTTTACTTTTTTTTTTATCAGACAAAAAAATCACATTTATTTCAGTAGTTCAAAGTGCAAATACAGCAAATCAATCCATGTTTCAAGATACAGTTTTAAGTATAATGAAAACTTGATATACAAAAATGAAAGGGTAAATAGCAGAAATAAAGCTCAATTTTTTTTTGAAGATTTTTTATTTATTTATTTGACAGAGAGAGAGAGAGAGAGATCACAAGTAGGCCGACAGGCAGGGAGAGGGAGAGGGAGAAGCAGGCTCCCCGCCGAGCAGGGAGCCCGATGCAGGGCTCGATTCCAGGACCCTGGGATCATGACCTGAGCCGAAGGCAGACGCTTAACCATCTGAGCCACCCAGGCGTCCCAATAAAGCTCCATTTTTTAAAAAATTCAAGTAACCCGAAAACCTTTAGACTAAAATATTCCACTTACAACAATTCAGAAATGCCTTAATTTATAGACACCAGTAGTACGGTGCAATCCCAAAGGACTTCTCTAAGAAAGAGAATCACCCCAAACCGGTCGGCTCAGGACAAGAGTGAAGTTCTTGGTACTGGCTATTCCTGATTCGGTAGCCTCACTCACTGTCCACTGATACAGTTCAACTCATGATACTTTGATGTTTAGGCAAATTCTAAAAAATGTTTAAAGTTCAATATGAGGCCAACACCCTACTAAGAGTTTCTGAAATGGCCACTATATATTTAAAAGATTTTAAAGACCAATTTCAACTTCAGGCCTATGGTATTACTGGGGGGAAAGACAGAAAATAATACTTCTTCCATTACTTAAAACCTTTCTGTAAGGTTAGCAACAAGGCCTTTACAACTTCCTCATGAAAATCGTACTTAAATATATACTTATTTCTACACATACAGAACTTTTATGTAAAGTAGAGAAAGTTCCCACTAGGAAGATAATTAAAGGTTGTTAATGTTCTTTGTATCACTTAGCAGCCAAGACACATGTTTATTTCTGCTCCTCAGAAGCAATGTTAGCTACTCGCTTCAATTCAGGAAAGTGTGTATGTTCAGGAAAGGTTTAGATGAGATATTTATTCAGTCTTTTTCTCAATCTTCTTCATCTTTTCATTGTAGGCAATAAATTGAGAGTCTGTTCCGAAAATTCTATCCCACCATGTAAATGTTGAAGCGTAGTTTCCGATGAAGTTCATGTGGTGGAAATCATGATGCCGAGAACTAGCATAGAAAGGGATGATTTAAAAGGTTGAGAGGAATGTCATAACCACTATGGACATCAATAGTTTCTATCAAATGAATAGTCACCCATGACCAAAGGAGAATGACGTGATCACATAAAAGCATGATTCCAATGAAAAGTCCAGTTCCAAGAATCAGAGTTTCCAAGGGATGTGCATATCCAGCTTCCATTCCAAATGGAGCCTGAAACTCATGGTGAACTTTATGAATATATTTATATATTCTTTTGTGATGTAAGAGCCCTATGCAGGAAATAGTGCCCGGTATCCTCAATCACTGCACAGCCGAAGCATCTTGCCAAAAGTGGATACCATCTTGGCATTCTTTCCCAATCATAAGGTATATTAAAATACTCTGTAAAATAATAAGTTCCACAGATCAAAGGAAACTGGATACAAAAGTGATTAAAGAGAAGTACTTTAAAACATTTCCATTGGTTTTCCCATGTTTCTGCTTTATCCTTTTGAATTTTGTACTTTTTCACGTAAGGTATAAATTGAAACAAAAATCCAGGTAAACAGAACAAGAAATAAAGGACCTCATGAACTATCAAGGATTCCCATGTTGTAATCTGGAACTTTGTATAATTATTCAACATATAGTTCCAAGCATTTTTAAATGGCTCTTGTAGAGGGTTCTCAGGGAAAAGTGAATCTACATACTCCACAGCCAAGGATGCTGAACTAAAGATGCCGATACTTTCATTTGTTGCCATTTCTCAAATCTCTGCTGAAAGCCTTAGAATTCTGGACAACCGCACGGGAACTGCGGGCCACCGTCACCCAGACTCGGCCAGGAGCTGCAGCCTAGGCTCTGCTTTATTTGCTAAGTAGGCACCTCAAGTGGCTTAGAATCCAGTAGATGGAAAATCACACTTTGCAAAAACACTTGTCTAACCTTCTAAGATCTTGAAAGTTTGTTGCCGAAATGTTTTAAGGAAATAACAAGATCTTTGATAATTCCAGATTTCCCTTATTGAATGACTTGGGAGCCGGGGTGGAGTCTGACAGCCTATAAGGGGCTCTGACTGAGTGATCTGTTTGAATAAGGGAAGCGTGGCATGCTGTTTAAGGATGCAGGATTCAGTGCTGCACTGGTCTGGGTTCAAATCCACTTGCTAGCTAAGTCATCTCAGGCGAGTTTTAAGTTTTCTGCCTCTGCGCCTCATCTGTAAAGTGGGGATAATAATGGTATTTGCCTCAGAAGCTTGTTTTGAATGTGGTACTTAAGAGCTCTTAGCAACCACTTGAACACAGCTTAAATTACTACTTTTTTCAGGGTTGCTTGGAGAGCAGATCCTTTGCTCAGGATCAATCCTCTGAGGATTCTAAGGGAGCTAGAATGGCCAACTGGACTTGTTTGCCCAAGACTGAGACATTTCCCTGGAATGCATGAGTTTTAGCACTAAAACCAAGACAGTCCCGGGAAAATTGGGATGGTTGGTCACTCTAAAGGCAGAACATTTTTTGAAGCTCTTCAAGTACTTATTTACATACATTATTTTTCCTGGTAAACAGTAGCTAGCTATAAACCTCAGAGGCTTTATTAATTCAATAAGCAATACTTGCTGAAGTTTATCTGAGAATTTATATATCTATTAGCTGCTCCAGCTCAAATTTCTACCTTGGTGGACCTGGAGAGAAGCACATGGGGGGAAGTGTGTTTCTAGGTTTCCTGGAATTTCCTGTATTTGGAATGTGCCCAGCTATAATGTCTATATTTCTTGATCAGGTGACATTTTTCTTTTAGTAAAAATGCAGGTGTGTATTAACAGTCTGGAAGAGTCTTAAGATGTTATTTAGTGGCTCAATAAATGTTAGTTGGATTAATAAGTGACTACCAATGAGGATGGCTTGACTTGGGTGTTTTGGAGACTTTATTTATGAAATTGAGAGATACAATTTGAAAGTCATCTCCTTCTCAGACGGCAATTTCCTCCCTTGCACATCATTAACTCTCTCTTAATGTGGCTTCCCACAATAAAAGTATGATACCAGGCAGTCACTTACATTGCCCCAGTGAAGAGGCCCTTGGGATGTCTGTAACAGGCATTTGTGGAATTTCTGAATTCGGCCGGCAAGTCGTCTGGGATGCATATACAGAAACACTAACATATGCATATACATATATATTATATCCCTCAACAATGCCCAGCTGAAGTCATACATCCCCTCTAACTATGTTCCAGGTGGGACTTGACCTTGGCAGTACACACATTTTTGTAGGATAGTGCTTTGGACCTGTTAGGGTGGTTGAGGGTTGAACCCCTTTTTCTTTTGATTTTTTAATTATTTTTAAAGATTTTATTTGTCTATTTGACAGAGAAAGAGATAGCAAGAGAGGGAACACAAGCAGGGAGAGTGGGAGAGGGAGAAGCAGGCTTCCCACGGAGCAGGGAGCCCGATGCAGGGCTCGATGTGGGGCTTGATGCAGGGCTCGATCGCAGGACCCCGGGATCATGACCGGAGCCGAAGGCAGATGTTCAACGACTGAGCCACCCAGGCGCCCTCCCCCTTTTCTTTTTAAAGATCCACCGTTTTTTCTCACACCAGAAGGATTTGCCATCCTCCATTCACCACTAGATGGCTCATCATTCAAAAAAATCCTTCATTCCAAAAAGGTTTATTGATCAAGTTTTCCACAATCATTTGAGTACTGCCCTCATGAATTTCAGCCATATCAGAGCATATTACTATATACTCTTTTTGTTTCATTTTGGTTTTAAAATATTTATTTATTTATTTATTTATTTATTTATTTGACAGAGAGAGAAAGAGCACAAGCAGGGGGGAGAGGCAGAGGCAGAGGGAGAAGCAGCCTTCCCTCAGAGCAGGGAGCCCGATGCGGGGTTCGATCCCAGGACCCCAGGATCATGACCTGAGCCGAAGGCAGCCGCCCAGGAGCCCTTACTATATACTCTTTTGAATATTTTTCTTTAAACTGGCTTAATTTTTAACTTAAGTATGCCTGTTTTAGAAGTAAACTGGAAGATGAGGGGGGAAAAGCGAGAGGTATACGTAGATGAAAAACAGAATGGCGCCAGAGAGAAAGAGCTGCAGCAAAGATTGATGGGAAGAAATCATGGGTCTGGAGGTGGTGATTCAGGAGGCAAGGGACCAAGACCAGTAGAAAGCAGAAAGATGGAGGGTGCAGGTGAGTAACAAGGGATCTCAAAACTGAGAGGGAAAAGCTGGGCAAGAGACAAGGAGAGGAAGGCGTAGAACCTGGGGATGAGGAGGATGTGAGACAGGTATAGAAATATTGGCATAAGAAGTTTGTATAAGATGAGGCTGCCACTGAGTTGGGCAAGCCAGAGGCTGAAAGAAAGGTGGAGCTCAAGGGAAAAGTGCGGGCATGCGATCTGAGGGGCTGAGGAGGATTAGGAGGTGCATCAGATGCTCTTGGCCACCTACCCAGTTTTCATGACCTCTCCCTTCCTTTTTTCCTTTGGGGAACATTGGGAAACACTGTTCAGTAACCAAACCCCAAATTGTGGCCCAATAGACCACAGACTTTTAATGCCTTACCTGTAAACCTTGTGACCATGCGCGTTTGAGAATTCAGAATTGTTGGGATTTTAGAAACACAATACGAGTACATGCTAGACCTTAGGTAACTAACACACCCAGTGTGGTCCGGGGAAACACCCCATAACCAAACATGTTAATATTTCTGCAGCAAAACGTATGATCTGTCACACTTAGTGGGATAGACAAGGACTAGGAAATAGCCTCAGGTCAGTTCAGATTAGGTTTTGGCACCTAAGGAATTTTGATGCCAAACTTAAAAAAAAAAAAAAAAGCCTCTTGACTTTGAATCTTTTAGATTGTGCACATTGCTTATGTCTTGATTCTGAAGCTGGGTCATGGGTACGTGGGAGCTTGTCATGTTACTGTTTATACCTTTTTGTGTGTGTAAAATACTAATTTTTTTAAGTAGGCTCCACGCCCAGCATGGAGCCCAGCGCAGGTCTCGAACCCACAACCCTGAGATCAAGACCTAAGGTGAGAACAAGAGTCAGACACTTCACCAACTAAACCCACCCAGGTGCCCCTGTGTAAAATATTAACATTTAAAACCTTTGAATGACATGGGTTCATGTCTGTTCTGAGAGCGCACATGATTCGGTACTCGGTTCACAGCAGGCTTCCTAAATACTTGTTGAATGGAATCAACTTGACCTAGCCCTCCCACCCTCATTGTTCGTTATTCTTGCCCTACAAAAAGCAACAGATGCTCTGCTGGTTAGGGAGGTTAGTCTGGTTGTGAATATAAATAAGAGTTAAGCTGGAACAAGGACCGACCCTAGGAAAAATTCATTTATTCTTTTATTCATTAATTCGACAAATATTTATCAAGGACTGCTATGGGCCTAGCACCAGGCCAGAAGAAGAGAAGCCATTGGAGGCACCACGTAAACAAAATTTCATCTCTACCATTGAGAAACTCACGGTCCGGTGGAGGGGATGATCTGCTCGTATCTGAGGGTGATTTAATGGGCTGATACCTGGGCGTGCCTGGGTATATTAAAGAAGAGCGGTGATTATCACAGCCTCCATGCTGCTACAACGGAAAATGGCAATGTGCTCTTGGTGTTTCCTAACCTATGGGAGCTTAGGTCTTCACAAAACTGAGTTTCTGAGGTACCCAAGGCTTCCTCTGTACCCAAGAAGGAGGGCAATGGAAGCCCGTGGTTAGGGGCCTTCCAGTGCTTAATGAGCATCATTGTAGATGACCCCCTGAGAAAAGTTATCATGGTCTCCTGGATGATCATCTGAAACATTCCCTGACCTTTCGGCCCCTGCTCCAGACAGTCCTGCCCCAACAACCCACACAAGAAAATGCCTTCGTAAGTCAACATTCCTCAGAGAAGAATTTTTCCTGGAGCCCAGAGGCAACAGAATTTTTCCAATAACGAGATCTTGGTTTACTTCTTCCTTGATCTTGGCTTGACTCACCTCAGCCTGGGTCTAGACTGTGATGTGGGCCACAGAGATTCTTATCTGGGGATAATAAATAAGTTGAGTAGATAAAGTACTTAACATAGTACTTGGCACATAGTAAGCACTGTAGCATTGTACCCACCTCATAGGGTTGGTGTCAGAATTCAATCAGATTACCCATGTAAAGAGCTCAACACACAATAAAGATTAGCAACTGTGATAACGGTGCTAATATGATGATGGTGCTAATATGATAATCATCCTGGTCAAGGAATGCCCCAGAGCAGTGAATTCCACCCCAGAATCTACATCTCGAAGAAGCTGATCCTTGTGGGGTCAACGCTTCGGTTTGGGAAGAGGAGCTGGTACTCAACAAGGTCTGTAAATCCCACGACGGTGTACTCAGAGCCTAGAGGAAGAGGCTGGGACCCCTGCATATCCACTCCAATGACATAACTGTCATAGAGATCACTAATGACCTCTTTCTTGGTAAATTCGATCAACCGCTTTCAGCCCTTATCTTTTGCAACCTTTTTCTGTCAGCAGGCAACAATGGCATGGTCAAGTCTTCCTTTTCTCCTTCATGACACATTGTGTTGACTTACATGACACCACACCCTGAGGTTTTCCACTTTCTGGCTATTCCTTCTGGCTCTCCTTTGCAAGCACTTCTTCCTCCATCCATCTCTTAACTCCTGCTAACCATCAGGATTCTTTCTTAGGCAGCCTCCTTTTCTCATTGGACATATTCTCCCCTGAGTAATCTTTTCCACACCCATGGGTTCAGTGACCCATATGCTGAT